CAGAACCACCTTAGTCATTTTTCTTTTTAATCTACTCATTACTTTCTTCTAGAATTGCCTTACTATTTCTAATGGGGCCAAAACTGTGTAGTTATTACATTCCAATGGAACTCAGAATTTCTCAGGATACAGATCCTTCTGCCTTTGTGGACAATTTCTTTAAGAAATATTGACAATAACATTTCATGGCCAGTTGCTATACAGACAAATACATTAATATTACATTTTAAGCCCTTTGATCCAAAAGTTTTTGTTTTTGCTTCTGATTTTACAGGAAAATTAAAACATTTCCATAAGCCCCTAAAAGTATCAAGGATGTTTTTCTGACAGATACCTTGGGTATGAACTCTGTAGATAAACACAAAGCTTAAGGTAATATCCTTATTGAAGAACTGTCAGAAAAGTGGCGAATTCTAATATATGTCCATTCAAAGCATTTCATTAGCCTCACCTCTCTGTAGGTTTCTCTGCCGTCTGTCTGTGAAAGGTTACACAGCTCCACCTTTTGTTTAAAAGGCTATTTTCAAGGACACCCATTGAATGTGTAGATAACTGCAAGAGATTAAGGATTTCAGATTATTGTACACTGGCAAGCCCTAAACTTTGATGCAAATTTATTGATAGATGACTTCCTGTTGTGTCATGTCTTTAGCAATGTTATAGGTGGTTTTAGCCTTTATACATGTGAGAGAGACAATTAAACCAATTTTCATAAGCAACAAATAGTATAGTTTAAATTATTCCTTCCAACCCAGGCCTTTGGAAGATGGTTTTCCTAACTGCTGTCTTGGACATGGTCTCTGGATGTCCTCTTGTATGTTTTGTGGGACTTGCTACCTCTCCACTTGTGTAAGAGCTTCACAAAGGCAGAACTGAACTTTCCATGCTGTGAGATCACACCACTTCACAGCTGTGGTCCCTTTTATCCCAGGTGCCCCATAGTCCTGTGTTGTCATTGTGCCTCTCATCTCCCCCCCTTCCTATGGCACCAGTGGTTTATGGACATTACAGAAAAGACCTTGAGTTCTCACCAGATGGCCAGCTTTATGGGTGTGGACCTAGTCTGTCCTGCTGAGAGCTCAGGAGGTGCCCGCATGTGTTTGCTGATGGCATGAAAGCACCAAACCGGCCAGTGATGCTGCTGACTTAATCCCAGACAAATTAACCGAAGGAGGATCTTACTCAACAATAAAGACACACTCAAAGTTGACCTTGGTGCATGGGCTCCCAGGCAGACACTGGAAGCACAGGGCGTGGGCTCCTTTCTGGGCCCTTGCCGCTGGTCCTGTTACTGGGTGGTTACAGCCCTGATGGCCACTGGGTACCTTGCATGGGGCTGTGCTCTCCAGCTGGGAGGATGCCCTATCAGGATGTCAGGAACCCAAATGTTCAGGAACCCAAATGTTTAAAAAAGCCAGTTTACCTTTGAATAGGTGAGTATTGTCACCTGTGAGCTGCCACCTGTGCCAAGGACAGTCTGTCTCAACCCTTTTCTCCTTTTCCAATTCCAGGGCCTGGATTTTGCAGGATTCACAGGGCACATGTTCCTGGGGATCAGCCTCGTCCTACTGTTCTCATTCCCTCTCCTCAGACTCCTTTACTGGAACAGAAAGCTCTACAACAAGGAGCCCAGCGACATTGTTGGTGAGTGTACATGCCTCCTGCTGCAGCCTCAGATTGCATTACCATGGTTTATTTTCTTCTTAGGGGAGGCTCTTATAGACAGGTGGGCAGTATTGTCACATGTAGAAAAGTGTGTGTCACTGGGCTGCCCCATGGCAGTGACTATCCACGTCTCCCTCCTGCATGAAGTGTTTGTTCACAGGGTTTTTAAGTTCATGAGCTGTGCCTCTGTAGTTATCTATAAAGTGTAATGTAATAAAGTGTGAGAAATAGTGACCACCATCTACCACTCACATGTCATGACATCCCAAACCAGGGGTGTCCAACCTTTTCTTCTTTGCCATACATTGGTAGGATAAGAGTGAGTTGTTTTGGGCCGCACATTAAATACAAAAAAAACCAAGGAAAGCT